GGCAAAACTTACAACCTGGTGACTGCTGCTGTATGCAAGAAGCAAGGTAGGTGAGCAGCTAGGGCCTCCCTGTGGGAAAGGAGGAGCAGGAACTTGAAAAATGCGTGGGCAGCACACAAACAGAGGTCAGGGTAAATTACTCACTGTCAATTCTACAGTAAAATAGATGGTTTATCATAGGAGTAGAACATCTGGCTTTGAAACGTAGTTTTAGCTATGTGTGCATCTTCCTAGACATCTCTGGTAGAGAAGAAAGGGAAAGGAAGAAGTAATTTTCTCAAGCCATGAATTCTTTCAATATCAGGAAAAAGGAATTCCTTCACACCACAAAAGAGCAGGCATGGAGCGTAAATTGTTTCCTCTTTTTATGAACAAGAGAGAAGATCCATAATGAAATCATTGCTGGTTTACCTGTTCTCAAACAAATGGAACTCCCTGGTGTGCATCCTACCCCTCAGCTCTGTGATGATCTGTAACACCAGGCACATGAAGACGCTGGAGCAAAGAGAAACTCCCATCAATCTGATCAAGTACTTCCTTTCGAACCAGGTCCACAGAGTGATGCTTTTTGTAATAGCTTTTTCAAGGTTCATATCTATTGATGAATTCACTTGCCATACTGGGAGACAGTTTGACATAAGTCATGCTGAGGTACCAGTGGAGCAATGTGCAGTGCTGCTGTACTGTGGACACCCTGAACAACACCTGCACAGCATCGATCCAGAGACATACCCTGTTTAACTGCAGACTTTCAGAAAAGCAGAGGAAAACAAGCAAGAACACAGTACGTGTGTTATTTATGTCTGTCCCCTAAGTACTGAAGGAGCTAGTGCACCAGGGAGCAAGTCAAGGACAGCACAAAGGCTGGCAGACAGCTCTCCTTTCTCTGTGGAGAACAGGCCCAACAAAATCAGAAAGGAAACTGAAACCAGCAGCCCTGAGGACATTTAAGGGTTCTGTGAAAACATTTCACTAATTAGGCCTCAAGAAGAAAAATACTGGTTTGAATTTCTCCGAGTTGAAAGAGGATCCCTGGAGGAATACCGTGCGAACTGCAGAACCATTTGTGATTTCATCATTGGATTATGTTCCATTAAAACTCCCACTGTTCAACCTGGCATACAGAAGTCTGGACAAGTAGGGTTCAGACAGCTAAACTTAGATGTTGAGTGTCTTTGTGAATGCTCACAAGGTGTCCTACTTTTCAGCTCCTGCTCAAGAAGAGGGTGCATCAACTGCAGGTCATGTGCCAGCCTCATAGAAGTGTTTTGGATCCCTCTGGACAGTCACCTTGAAAGGCACAGTCCCATACATCAGGCCATTGACCTGTGCCCAAACTGCTGGATGCTGCACAGGCAGAACTTTGGTGCTACGTGCAGTGTAGACAGATTCCTCAGGAGACCCTGCTCCTTCTGCAACATCTCCCACCATGAAGGTTTGTCTGTGCCAGGGCTGCCTCAAGTGGTTTCAACTCCAAGCTGTCTTTGCAGTCTCTCTGCTTCTTCTTTCCCTCCCACAGATGCTTGATTTTAACAGCACAGAGAGCTGTTGACCAAGCGTGTGATTCAGCTGGAGCTTCTGCCAACAAGGAAATCGTGATGGCAGTCCGCTTTCTGTGGGTGGAGAGGTCACACCTGCAGCCACCAATGAAGTGGCATGACAAGCTTTTTATTTTCACCTTTCTGTCTTTCAATGTCTATATACAAAACATGAAAGTTTTGTAAACATACTAATCAAGGATTCTTCTGGGGTTTTTTTCCCCTCCAAGTTGGGGAGGAAGTATGCTCACAAAATGCTTAAGTTCTGTGTAGACGTTTAGCAAGCAATGAAACAAAGATCCAGAGCCAAACACTACGCAGCAAACTTGTGCATGTAGCTCCCTGTAGACATGAAGCATGATTTGCTTTTCCAAGACTTATTTTGCCAAGAAGTCGGAAAATTCCTGTAGGATACATAGCTGTGCTTTTCTCTTTGTATTTTTATTGGAAGAACAAAAAAGCTGAGGGTTTGGTTTTTGGGTTTTTTTTTCGATAATAAAAATATGCAAAATGTTTAATGAGAAGAAAGAAAAAAAAACAATATCCTAAATTATCGAGACCTCTTTTACTTCTCTGTTCACTAAAACCTTATGCATACTGTACATCACACACATGGAAATAAGATCTGTGTGACACATTGCAGAGATATGATACACCGAAGTTGTCACCTGTCTTATACTACCTGCCTGCTCCCAGGAAGCAAGGAACAGCCCCAGCAGTCCACGCTGCTGAGTAAATGTTCACTTTTTTTGTTTTGTGATTTATCAAAGCATGGGTTTTGTTATTTTGAGTTTTTAGTTGTTTTGTTTTCATTTTCTTTTTAAATCAACCGGCCAGAGGACTACTTCCTTCTTTCACATGGAGAAATTACAAAATTGCATGATAAAGAAGCAGGGAAGGTTGCAGTCACCGCTGAAACGACGGCAATTACGAAACATACTGAGCAAAAACTGACTAAAGTGAGGCCACAAGACTGATTCAGCCCCTTATGGTCAGAAAGGCTCCAGCTCCTGCATTGGTACCCTTGGCAGTATCTCTCATTCCCCAGGAGAAGGGGAACACCACAATGAAGCAAGTGCCTGATCTGCAGGCTCAGGCCAAAGGCAATGCTGTTCCATGGCAGGGGCAATAAACTGCTAGGGGAAGAAAGGAGTGAAGCATCAAGGAAAGGTGCTCTAGGGTTGCTTAGCTAGGCATGTTCAACTGATGACTGCCCTGCCTATGTCTAGAAAAACTATTCTGCAAGAGATCCATGTGCAGCAGCACATAAGATTTCTGTGAACAGAGCCTTCACCTTTAGTATCCTCTGTTCCTCACCTGTTCAGGGATGGCACAGAAAAGCCTTTGATCAGTCATGTCACCAGTCCTGGCTCAATGGTGGCAATCCACCAAAAGGTCGCTTCATGTTTGCCAACTGATGGTTTGATTCAATGCTAAGCTTGTTCTTATGCCTGAGAATTGCTCAGTTTGACCCACATCCTCAGTAGCTTTTGCTCAGTATGGCATAGTGCTTGGGAAGGGAAATCTCAGGATGCTCAGGAGCCTCGGCACAGCAGGGCACCGCTCACGTGCTGACCTGCACGCTGCACCTACACTAAAAGCATCTCATCACTGTGGGCATGCAGAGATCTCAGAATTAGCTCAAGCAGATACACCAGGGCTGGCTAACCTCCAGAACAACTGTTCTTCAGGAGTTAATATGGAAAAGAGCAGCTGTTTTGCAATGGTAGAAGAACACAAAGCCTTAGTAGTAATATTTTCAAAGTATTTCCCTCCTTTTTAAAAAATAATTATGTATCATTATTTTCCTAATAGAATTTAAAATAATCATCATCATTATCATCTATAATAAATGTACAAGTATTTCCATGGACACAATCATGGTGTACCAATGCAAGATCTTTAAAAGGTCTTCATATTTGCCTTCATTAAAAGGCAAATACTCCTTAGATTCAACACAAAATATACTTTCTAAACAAGACATTTCTGTATTTCAAGTCAAGCATCATAAATAATACCCTAGGCTGAGTCAGGCATAATAATTATTTGCATCTTTTACACAAACATTGGTATTTCCACTTTTCCAAAAGAAGTCCAGTATTGTGTAATTCAGGAAAACCCTGCTTTGCATTACTTTCAGTTTCAGTTGTCCCTAGCACAAATAGGAAAACCTTTCCCTTCACTTGAGCTACTTCTGTCAATGTGAGAAGCAGAGTGGGCAATGTAAACTCCAGCTGCAGTTTCCCTTGGGTCATGGCTGATGTGGACACGTGCCAGGTGGGTGCCTCAAACACTCCTGGCTGGGCCAGACCCTGATCCTCAAGAGCCTAGCCCCACAATCCTGTCTGTCTTTATCCCCTGGATACTGCTAGCAGAATTAGGCAATATTTACTCAGAACTGCCATACCCTTGAAGGGCTGTGAGAACACCCAGGCCATTGTCCTGATCTGACGGCGACTGTGACTCTAAGACTGTGTCTTGGTGTGACCCCAGAAAGTGTGAGATGAGCAGCAAACACAGGCGCCTCAAGGAAAAGCACTGGCAGCTGTCCCTGTGCCTCTGAGCCCAACTCCAGAACATGACCCATGGCAACTCCAGAGCACGACCCATGGCAAGCCCAGCAACCCTCAGGCACTGGAACTTCCTTTGCTTTATAAATCAGTTAGTTTTAATTGCAGGCTGTGTTTTCATAGGCTGTCTTCATACGTACCTAAAAATTTCTCATGCTGCCTAACTCAGATAACACAGAATTTCAGAATAACATAAGGCAGTCTCCTGACTAATAGAATAAGCTAAAAAAGCATGCTATGATATACATTATATATTTGTATAGTGTATGTACACTGAATGTTATATAATGTATATACACAACAGTAATATATATATACATATCTATACACATAGATGTAGGTATAGGTATAGGGATAGGGATAGGGATAGATAGATAGATAGATAGATAGATAGATAGATAGATAGATAGATAGATATAGAGCTTTTGCACATCTTTGTGATCTTCAGTTGCCAAAGGCGATGGATTTGCTATAGCAAAACAAAGAGGAGTGGGCCAAAACGGGATTAGTAGTAAATCTCTCTGCCCGGCGTTAATCATTGCTAAGGGCAGTCATTTACCGCGCCGTAAACCGCGGCGGAGCCCTCTGTCAAAGGGGGAAAACACACTCCAAAGGGCCGGGAGGAGCCGAGCGCCGCCGCCAGGGCAGCTGGGCCAGGGCTCCCGAGCCGCCCTTCGGCCGGTGCCACCGAGCCCGGCGGCGCCTTCCGTCACCCGCAGCCCGGGGGACGCCCCGCACCCCTGGCCCGGAGCTCCCGGCTCCCCACACGCAGCCCCGGCAACCCGCCCGCCGGCCCCGCCGCGGCCGCTCCGGGTCTGACACATCCCGATCCCGATCCCGATCCCGATCCCGATCCCGATCCCGATCCCGATCCCGATCCCACACGGCTCACCCGCCGCCGCCGCTCCCGCCGCTGCCCAGAGCCGGGAGAAGCCGGCGCGTCACCGAGAGCGGGCGGGGCCGCGCTCCCCGCCCCGCCCGGGCCCTGGAGCCCCGAGGGGCAGAGAGCGGCTTTCCTCGAGCACGGCTTTGTCAGTGCGGGGATGGAGGTGTCCTGTGACCCGCGTCCTCATCACATCTGCATCCCGTGATCACCTTGATTGAGTGGGGCTCTTTGGTGTTTACAGCTCGTAACACCTCAGTCGTAGACACCCCGTGTGCTTTATGACATTGCACCCTAAATACGCATCTTGCTCAGACTGAAAAAGTACAGGTTTGCTGGGAGTATTTTAGAAGCCTTTTAGTTAAGAAGCGGGGGGAAAAAAATAAAGAAATAAAAATTATCCCCGGAGTTTTACCGCAGAAATGTGTCCTGCAGAAATGACTAGACACAGGAGTTAATGCTATGGTCTAGTTGAAAAGGTGATGATAGGTCAAAGGTTGAATTTGATTATCTTGGTGGTATTTTCCAGCCTAAATTATTCTGTTGTTGTGTGATTGAGAAACCAAATTAACTGGTTTTTCAAAGGTGAATAAAATATCTCCTGAAGGTTTATTTTCGGCTTTAATTGGTTTCTCGGGAAATCAATGTTCTAGTAATTTTGTTTCCTCACTGACTGTGTAATAAAATTCTGAGAGAGATTTGAAATACACAGTTAATGTTGTGTGCTATCAATTGGAGATTTTCTTTGTAATAGTGTTTATGCTAAAATTCTGACACCTTGGATTCCTGGGTTTTGGAATCTGTCTTCTAAAAAAGAGCTTGGCAAACTGGGGGAAATCATTTATCTGTGGCAGTGCTTGTCTCTTGCTGTTGAGGCTTTTCTTTTGTGCAGAAATTTGTTTAAGAGTAATAAATGAAAGCACTTTGGAAAATATCCACTGATGAGAGTGGTAGGAAAAGAGTTAATTTTCTGTTGCAATAAGAAGGGGTAAGGGTTTCTGCTTCATGAAGAGCTTGAATGGTCTTATCTCAGTACTGATAAGAATCTTCAGGGGCTCTGAGCAACTTCTATTTTGAAAAAAATAAATAATTTTAGTAGCATTATACATATTTACTTAATTTCTAAATACTGGAAAGGCTATGATCTTTTCTTAGCTATTTTCTGTAAACTGTGGACTAATTTTTCCTGTAATGCATCAAAATATGAAGCAAGTTCTAGGATAAAAGTTCTCAAAGAAAATAATTATTAATTTGTCTTGTGTGTCGTGTCCAGAACTTTTATCCAATAAGAGCTCTTAAGCAAAACCCTGCAGAGATAGGTGGAGATCAAGACTACGGAGAATTTCAGGGATGTTATATGAAGTATCTGCATCAGTATTTTCCACAAGGTATCTATTGATGGTGGTTCACCATTGCTGGCAGTAGACCCCATGTGGGTGTAGACAGGCTTCCAAGTGTCACTTGTCCTGTTGTGGAAAATTTTGTGGTAGGATGGTGACAGCACCTAAAGACTGGACATCACCTTTTTTGCTACTGCTGTCAGATGTTGTGCTGAGCAGTGGCTCTGAGCAACCCCTCTGTTCAAGAAAGGATTCACAAAGGATGGCCAGCGTAGGAAAAGGCTGAAATGAAAGAATGAGACTAACATAATTAAATAGCTCTCTGTGGGATTGCCAGTATAAACTTATTTTAAGAAATCATTTTTTTCTTATATTCTAGCATTCAAAAATTATTATCAGTGAGATTTATAAGCCTTGGTTATCTCTGCATAAATGTGAAATAGTGCTATCTGTAAGCCACACAATTTTGCCACCAAAAAACAAAAATCACGATTAGCTAAAAGGGGACTATACAGGCCAGTGTTCTTAATGGAATAAAAAACAATTATGTGTCGTGGTTTTAAAGCATTAGCTAAAAAAAATCACTAGAAAACTTACTCATTTCTTGCTGTGAGATATGGATTAGAAGAAGAGCAAAACAGGCTTAAAACTTAAAAGGAATAAAGGAAGTTTATTAACAAAACTACAAGAATAAGAAACCAGAATAAAAACCTCCAGAAACTCTTTTTCCCCAACCAATTTATTTCTTGTTCCCTTGTTCACATAACAACACAGAGACAAAAAACCCTGGTGGTTAAAACAGTCATAATTTTGCTATAGCCTTTTCATCAGTCTTCGTAGAGAAAAAGAAGTTCTCTTCTGCCAATCTATGGAGTTTTTCAAAAGAAAAACATATTTCTCATGGCTTTTTATTTTTCTGATGCCAGCTGCCTGGAAACTCTGTCATCAGTTCTTTCCTTCCATTTCACACCACTCTGAGGTGTGTTTTTGGGCCATGAAGTCAAGGGGTGTCATTTTAAGGATGAGTTATTTAAAGGTGAAAGTTCTCTTCATCTGTCTCTGTAAGCATCTCTGGAAACAGAAGTTTTCTCTTTGCCTCTTAAGGGCCACAAATTTTCAACAACTCTCACTTCTCCATTTCCGTTTCAGCATCACATAAGATCACAACTACTTCACCATTTTACTCAACTTTATCAATTAATTACTTTTGCTCCAATCCACATTTTGAAATACTCTATTCCCCCCAAAGTACTCTCTCATGAAATAAAGTTTTTCAGAACATTATTGGCCATCTCCATAGCTTTAACAAAATAATATTTCAGCTTATTTAAAGCATCTCCTTATTTCTCTCCCCCTCTGAAGCTTAATTCCTTTCTTCACTGTCTTTGATAGTTTATGTTGTCTCTTTACCTGTTGATCATTCTCTCTTGACCTCTTCCTAGAAAAAGGATTAAATCTGCAAGTCTCATCTGGGTAGTAAAAGGGTTAAAATCTTGCTGAAGCTGCAGCAGGTATTTATGGTGCCAGGTTTCAGCTCAGCGGTTCTCAGAGCCAGGGACCCCCGGACCGCATGGCCTGGGCCGGGGAATGGGAGGCCAGCTGGAGCTCTGTTACCTTTCACAGCCAGGAAACAAAGAGACAAATTCCTGGGCTTAGGTCTTAAGGTGGTGTTCACAGGTTGATCTCACTTTTCAATGGTCAAAACTGCTGTCAATTCCTAGAAATGGCCAGTAGTTGGCCAGGAGAAAAACTCCCATCAGCCTCCGGCAGCCTAAACTTGCTTAGGTGTTTCTCTTTGTTTCTTAAATGCTAATCCATTACATTATGACAGGGATTTTTTTTTTTTTCTTTTGGAGAAGGCCTGTTCAAACTTCCAAACTGCTTATTTGTAGGATTTCAATCCTTCATTCATTTTCCAAACTTTTTTTGTTCTGTCCCACTTCAGTGCTGTACTGAATCACCTTTTATAGGACTATGGTGCACAGATATATTCCAGAAAATAATGGAAAATTAAAGACCTTACTAAGATGACTGTGAAAAGCAGCAGATTGAAGATGTGAATGATGTACATACAGAATTTTCTTCCTATTTTTATAGGTAAGCTTTCATCAGGAGGACCAGATGCCAATCATCATAATATTCACATTTTCTGGTTCTGAAGTGGATGATCTGTCCAAGCCCTTCTCGATGGATGTCCTTACAGGGGAGGCCTTCTCATTCCATTACCTTGTTTGGTCAATTGTCTTGGTTTGAAAAGGCAGGTGTCTGCTGAGGAAGGCAGGAGCCTCCCTTGAAATGGAAAATGTAAACCACGTCCCTCTGAATTGTTCTAATTTTGAAATTAAGGGGCTCTCGGGCAAAGATATGGGAGTAGGAACAACAGTTCTTTACTTATTTGTATAAATAAAAAAACTACAACTTAATAGGAAAATTAAAATGCAGTAGTACAAAAACCACTGACAGAGTCAGAATACAACCTGACACCCTGCTGGCCAGGGTGTTGCTAGCAGTCCAGTTAAGTGGTGGCTGCAGTCACTGTTGAAGCAGTTGTTATAAACGTAATAGCAAAATAAGGTTAATATAAAAAGCAATTTATTATAAAACAATTTCAATCATAAGCAACGAGAGAAAAAACCACAATAAATAAATCAGCGCAGCGCTGGGTGGACAGGGGTCTGCACCCAGAGGTACAGATTTTGAAGGAGGGATTGCAGTCCGGGGTTTTTATAAGGAATTTTGTATCCTGAGGCAAAACCCAGAGTGGGCACTGTCCAACAAAGAGTCTAGATGTGCGGTTGAATAGATTTCCCCGGATCCGTGGAGCTGAGTCAATAGTCAACTGGGCAGAGTCCTTTTACATGCGAATGGTTCTGGGTGCCTTCTGATTGCATCTTTTGGTTGGACTCCTGGGGTGGAGTGTCCAGGTCGGGTGCGAAGCAGATGGATATCTCAGCCGGGCTACTCTCATTGTCTGGCTTGATTGCCTGTGTCCTGCTCTTTATCTCGGGCTGATAAGTGTAGCTGTGGATCGTTACCGCCTGACTCGGGAAGGAATCTTTAGATCATACTACATTTTATATCTTTACATTATTATAAATATAACATATATTTCTTTATTCTCCTCCACGAATTTTTATCCAATGCCACATTTATCACACAGTGATCCTGTGGAAGGCTGTAGTTTTCCTCTGAAGGTCCAGTGGTGGTGTAGAATGGTCTGGTCTTCCTTTGGGAATCCAGTGGAAAAAGGCTGACTGTGGTGTTCCAAATCTCAGACTATATCCAGGTAGGAATGCTGGGTGGAGCATCTCCCAGTGGGCTGATGTAATTTTATCAGCCATGCAGTGAGACTCAATGGCCCATTAACAGAAGATTTTCCCTTGGAGGGAGGATGGGTTGTGGAAGAGATAAAGAACACTGCCACACTTGATTTTAACAGTTGGCCCATTAACAGATGATATCTTCCAGCTATGAGGGATGGATCATAGAAGAAATAAAGAACGCTGCCCAGCTGATTTTAACAGATGGTAATAGAATACACACTTTTGGTTAAATCTTGCATTGCAACCTAAGACATCAGTGTACCCAGCTTTTGTTAGCATGGACAAAATTTTCCTAATCTAAATCACCTTCATGATGTTATATTATGTTCTTCTCTCCATGTATTCATGGATGATGAGGGCT